ACTTCAAATATCTTCTACTCCTAGCCTGAAAACTCTTCGTTTTATAATTTAAAAGTATTGGGAGCACAGGAGTAGAGCTCAGGGTAGAGAATATACTTAGCATTCCTGACGGCGCGGGTTAGATACACAGCAAACACACACACAAGCCCTCCCACACACAGTGACAAAATGCTATTTCAGACTACATTATGCCATCATTACAGAAAGAGGACAGTGGAAAATTTTAATTATTAAATCCACCAGTGAAACTATGCTTAAGACCTCTTAGAGACAAAACAAAGTTTTCAATATTCTTCCCAGTAGGCAAATCATCTCCACAAAGTACATCTGGTGTATATATGTTTTAGTACCTTAAAAAAAGTACATCAACTAGCCTAAATACTAGCATATATTTGCTACTAGAAAGTGATGAAAGAGAGAAAGAGAGAAAAGAGAAAGGGAAAGAGGCAGGGAAGGAAGGCAGGGAAGGAGGGAGGGAGGGAGGGAGGGAGGGAGGGAGGGAAGAAGAAAGAAAGACAAGTATTTCTAAAGAGACAGAGTTAAAAAAAAAAAACACAACCAGGAGCTCTGCTACACAGGCAGTGCTGTTTCAAACAAACTGCTGATGACTAGCGCTGACCCCTAGTGACATCATGTGAAGGGCACTTCTCTCTGCTACCACTGACCCCTGGTGACATCATGTGAAGGGCACTTCTCTCTGCTACCACTGACCCCTGGTGACATCATGTGAAGGGCACTGCTCTCTGCTACCACTGACCCCTGGTGACATTCAAAGGGCACTTCTCTCTATTACTAGCATGGGAAGGTTCTGAATACTGTTTGCTTTGTGAACCTGATATTATTTAGGAAGAAACTTTTCTAGAGTTTTCTATCAAATGTATCCTGCTTGATATATTCCACCTCATTCACTCATATACAACAAATCAGTATAAAAATATACAGATAAGTTTGAAACATAAATATCATCTGAGCATTTCTTTCTACCTGTCACTTGTGGGGACATCTGCCCTTGGGCTGCCAGTGTCTTCTGGAAATGTTGCCCATATGTTGGGGTTTCTCTCCCTCACACATGTGCCCTGCCATGTACCCTCAACCAAACCATCTAAATTGCATTCAGATTTTTGTGGTATCATAATAACTTCAATATGGTGTATATTTTCAACATTCTGGTAAGAGACTCCTTTCTTTCCTGCCTCGCCCTCCTCTCAAGTTATTTCAGGTTTGAATATTTCATTTTCATGGCTCAGCTGGGTAGCACAGAGGCCCACCACATAACACTTATTTGTGAGGTCTACAGACACAGCAAGGAAATTGTGAACTAGCATGTCAGAACGACACAGTGTATGTGTATGTCTTAAAAGAGGAAGAAATGTTTCTTTTAAGACACAAGCTATCTCAGCATCATAACTCTGAAGTGAATACTACAGCCCAATTAAAGATGAAGAACACCACAAGAAGTGTTCAAATTACTCCTTCTATTCATTCTTCTTTGGTCTGTGTTATTTCCAAATATCTTACATTCAACAGACATAAGTGTATTCGCCTTCTAATCTCATCACAATAGGAAGAGAGTAGGAAGAAACTTTCTCTGCATTCTTTGGAGAATAGAAGATATACAGATAGGCAAGGTAGAGAGTCCCCAAGGGACGACACCTTTCAACTTTCTACATGGTGAACATACTCATGCATTTCTACAGGACTCTGAGCTCCATGGTGCACATGGTAAATACATTCATATGTTTTTATAGGACTCTGGTCTTCCATGGCATATGTGGTGAACACATCATGTATTTCTACAGGATTCTGGTCGCCATAGCACACATGAACACATCATGTATTTCTATAGGACTCTGGTCTCCATGGAACACATGATGAAAACATCATGTATTTCTACAGGACTCTGGTCTTCCATGACACACAAGGTGAACACATCAT